TTTCAGAACATGGCAAAGCCTAAAATAATGGAACATTGCGCTTATCACACTACTGGTGACACGGCCTACCATATTCGTGCCTGCAACAATACATTTAGAACCAAAAATACAATTAGTATTCGCAATAAGAGGATGTGTGTCACCCCTCGGACGACCACATGGAATAGAACTGTAGGTCTCTACCCCCCTGTCATCAATACATCAATCAAATTAGTAATGCGTCGTCAGGTTGTGATATCCAAGCAATTAAATACTTAATAAACGGCAAGGTAAATACTACGTCAAATCAAAGACTCGAACCGGTGTTCACGTTCGGCACCTAATCGCTCAGCTTCACGTCGCTGCACGTCTTCTCCTCATATCTGGCTGTACTAGGATGGTGAAAGCCGAAAGTAATGGTACAGCATTATTATAACAGTGAATAAGTACTGCGAAATAATTGTAAACTCATAGTTGCTGTTGATATAGAAAGTAAAGTAAGTAAATAATAATTAAATAAATACTTCCCTGGTTTCGATATTATGATGTTGAAATGTTTGTACATTAAATCACTAATCCGAATATTACATGGATGATGTGTAAACATAAATGAAACCAGTTAATACATTCTGTGTAATGGAACAAGTATTCCCTGTTTGGGGAATCATTCAAACATTTTCCCGGCCTGTTCCCGACAATCGTCATTACTGCATATTCGCTGTGAATGAATTAATTGGTAAACGCGTCAATTTCCTGGAACGTTTTTTGTTTATTAATTTGTTATTAAAACGCAAGCTTCTCGAGAAAAATGGAGTCGGTTGCGATAGTCACGCTAGTGAAGCAATAAATCCGGACGAAGAAGACGCAATGTGGAAGGTAGGTAAACTTGGGACTGCCGATGGGAACACTCAACATTTCACGCTGTGGTGTTTACCAAACATTTCGGACTTAGCGGCTGGAATGAACATAGAAAGTTGTGCCCTGGAGATGTTACAGGGATGAAGCTGGACGCGAATTTCTGAAGTTCAAATAACGCGATACTAAGTCTCGTGATTGAAAGCAGGGAACGTATGCAATCTGATTAAAATCTGATGTAGTGTACGGGCTTTAACTATTTTGGCTATACACTTATTTTAATTTTATTTTTTATTACTTTTGTTATTAATGCCTTTTATTTTATTATTTTAATTTGATTTTGTGATTTGTTTTGATTCCGCCCTACCTACATCTGATCCGACGCCTATGTAAGTCCCGTTCAAATCTCGCGTAAGTAACAGCCAATCACAGCCCCCCTTTTATACAGGCTGTCGGTTGCTTACTTTTCAGTGTATACGGGCAATCTTTCTGGACATTATATTTTGCCCACTTGAATAACCATTATAGAAAATTGCTAGTATATTTTTATTTGCAAA